CCCAGAGCGGGAGTGGGAGGCCTCAAGGCGCTCCAGATCGGCCCAGATGGTTCCAACGTGGCCCCAGAGGAGCTCAAGACGGCAAACACACAGCCCAAGAGGCCTCCCAGAGGGCCCAAGAGAGCTCCGAGAGACGTCCCGAGAGAGCCCAGAGAGGCCCAAATCATTGAGTTGCATTAGTTTGTTCGATGTGTTTCGCTTACTCGCGTTCTCGAGCTTCTAATGCCCCCAAGACCGCCTCCAAACCGCCGAAAACGCCTCCAAAAGAGCCCCGTGACGGATCCAGAAAGCTTGCAAACTGACCACGAGGAGCACCAGACGGCCCAAGAAACCCCAGGACAGGCCCAAGCTGGGCCACAGAGCGGGAGCGGGAGGTCCCAGGGCATTCGAAGACGGCCCAAATGGCCCGGGCCTCCCCCCTCCGTCCTCCTTCCCTCCCGACCCCTCCCTTTGCCTCCATTCCCTTCTCTCTCTCCTCTTCCTCCCCTTACCCCTCAGTTTTCGGGTTCCTCCCTCCTCTCCTGGGAGGGCCCCGCCAGAACGCCAGACAGGCCCCGCCAGAGCGAGCGGGGCATCGCTAGACCCTTTCATTTCGAAAGTGTGTTTGCCCCTCCCACCCGTCAAGGGCGGCCCCGACACAGCGAGAGGGGCGTTGCTATACAATATACAGTCCTTGTTGTGTTTTGATCCTCTCGCCGCACCCAAGGTAGCCCCGTCAGAGCGCACAGGGTGTTGCTATACCATAAGTACCCTCAGGTTTCGTGCTCCTCCCTCCCCTCCTGGGCCAGCCCCGCCAGAGCGCCAGGGAAACCCCCGCCAAAGAGAGCAGGGCACCCCTGCACCATATTCTTTCGCGCGAGTCTTGCTCCCCCCACCCTTGCAGGGCGGACCCTCCCGAGCGAGCGGGGTGTGGCTATGCTGTGCAATTTCTCAGGTTTCGTGCCCCTCCCTCACCTCATGAAAAGGCCTCGCCAGAGCGCAGAGAAGGTACCGCCAGAGGCCCCGTTAGAGCCCCCGCCAGCCCCACACATGGATTTGCCAGACAAATCATTGAACATCCCCCGTGAGCCCGAACTTTCTGCTCCCATGGTTGCGATTATCGCCGGCATGAGGTTTGGCCTCCAGCACAAAGAAGCTTCCCCTTGCCCGTGGACGGACTCGATCGACAACTACTGATTGCAGAGAAGGGCGCTGATGACGGAGACATCCTGCGCGCGCCTTCTGCAGATACCCGACAGCTGAACGACCGTTGAAAACGACACACTGGGAGCGCAAGGAAGAGGAACAAAAACAACTCGCTCCCACGCGCGCGCAACGAGGCCCCGAGCCAACCCCAACATTAGGAGCCGGCGGATGTCTGCGTGATCGGGCATGGGGAGACCGAACACATGTGCAAAACCATTGAGTACCACGACGGGGCAGAGCGGAAGTAAAAGTGGAGAAAAAAAACGCAGTTCCATAAACCAAGCAAAGGCGACAGCGAGATTGTGAGATACGCGGGAACGTGGCGCTCCGCGTTCTGACAGCGCGTTTTTTTGCGTCAGTGGCATGGGCCCGAGAACGCTGGAAATCGTCGTTGTGGCCACAACGGGGCTTACAGCGGCACCCGTGGATGCTTCGCGACTAGAACCAAAGCGCGCGCGTAGCGCGCGCGTGGTTCTAGTGTGTATATATATATATATATATATATGTATGTGTATATATATATATATATATATACGCATTCGTACATACATAAATGTGTATATATATATAAACATATTCATGTATACCTATATAAGAGAGCGAACGAGAGATACAGAGAGAGAGTGAGTGAGAGGGGGTACACATCAAGATCTGTGTTTGTTATCTCTCTCTCTCGTTTGTTCCCAACCATCCTGTGGTGTTGGGTCCTCGTTTTGAAGAGACGGTGCCCCGCGTCTCCTCTCCTCTCCTTCCTTCCTCCTCCTCCGCCTCCTCCCTCCTCCCTCCACCCACCCCTTACACGTTTCGTGGCCCCATAGGGAGCTCCACCGAAGGCCCCAGTGGCCGCGTCCACATGGCGGCGCCGCACCCATTTCGGCACACCCCTCACACGCTTCGTGGCCCCATAGGGAGCTCCACCGAAGGCCCCAGTGGCCGCGTCCACATGGCGGCGCCGCACCCATTTCGGCACACCCCTCACACGTTTCGTGGCCCCATAGGGAGCTCCACCGAAGGCCCCAGTGGCCGCGTCCACATGGCGGCGCCGCACCCATTTCGGCACACCCCTCACACGTTTCGTGGCCCCATAGGGAGCTCCACCGAAGGCCCCAGTGGCTGCGTCGCATGGCGGCGCCGCACCCATTTCGGCACACCCCTCACACGTTTCGTGGCCCCATAGGGAGCTCCATGGCTGCGCGTCATTTCGGCACACCCCTCACACGTTCGTGGCCCCATAGGGAGCTCCACCGAAGGCCCCAGTGGCTGCGTCCGCGGCGCCGCACCATTCGGCACACCCCTCACACGTTTCGTGGCCCCATAGGGAGCTCCACCGAAGGCCCCAGTGGCCGCGTCCACATGGCGGCGCCGCACCCATTTCGGCACACCCCTCACACGCTTCGTGGCCCCATAGGGAGCTCCACCGAAGGCCCCAGTGGCACATGCGTTCTGGCACACCCCTCACACGTTTCGTGGCCCCATAGGGAGCTCCACCGAAGGCCCCAGTGGCCGCGTCCACATGGCGGCGCCGCACCCATTTCGGCACACCCCTCACACGTTTCGTGGCCCCATAGGGAGCTCCACCGAAGGCCCCAGTGGCTGCGTCCGCATGGCGGCGCCGCACCCATTTCGGCACACCCCTCACACGTTTCGTGGCCCCATAGGGAGCTCCACCGAAGGCCCCAGTGGCTGCGTTCGCATGGCGGCGCCGCACCCATTTCGGCACACCCCTCACACGTTTCGTGGCCCCATAGGGAGCTCCACCGAAGGCCCCAGTGGCTGCGTTCGCATGGCGGCGCCGCACCCATTTCGGCACACACCCTCACACGTTTCGTGGCCCCATAGGGAGCTCCACCGAAGGCCCCAGTGGCTGCGTTCGCATGGCGGCGCCGTACCCATTTGGGCACACCCCTCACACGTTCCGTGGCCCCATAGGGAGCTCCACCGAAGGCCCCAGTGGCTGCGTTCGCATGGCGGCGCCGCACCCATTTCGGCACACCCCTCACACGTTTCGTGGCCCCATAGGGAGCTCCACCGAAGGCCCCAGTGGCTGCATTGGCATGGCGGCGCCGCACCCATTTCGGCACACCCCTCACACGTTTCGTGGCCCCATAGGGAGCTCCACCGAAGGCCCCAGTGGCTGCGTTCGCATGGCGGCGCCGCACCCATTTCGGCACACCCCTCACACGTTTCGTGGCCCCATAGGGAGCTCCACCGAAGGCCCCAGTGCTACCGCCCTCATGCGTCCCGTACGCCCAGGACAGCGTTTCGTGGCACGCCTTTCGTGGCCCCATAAGGAGCCCCACCGAAAGCGGCACCCACAAAGCGTTATTCACAATTGCATATGGTTGGGCCCTTCGCCAGGATAATTATTTTGTTGTTATATGTTACTTTATTTCTCTATCTCTCTCTCTTTCTCTCTGTTGCTCTTTCCCTCTCCCATACATCACTCACACTGCTCTTTATGCGCTTCCCTTCCAGTCCCCGGTTCCGTGGCGACCAGCGCCGTAGTGCTTGGGCTTCATCCTGCGCCTCCCCCATACATCTCCTTTCTCCTTCCTTCTCCTACTCATCAACTCATCATTTCCCACTTCCTCATCCTCGTCCTTCTCGTTCCTTCCTCCCCCTTCCCTCCTCCTATTTCCGCCTCGTCATCCTCGTCCCTCCCCCATTAGCCCCTCCTCGCCCGTCTCGCCACCCCCTCCCTCCGCCCAGTGGCGCTGGAGGCGTCTCCTCCACGACGGATCCCAGCCTACTTTGACAAGCCCCACGCTCTCGGCGAAGGGGGTGGGTGGGGGCAGGCAGGGTTCCTCCTCCCGTCCCCGCTGGCGTTCCCGCTGCGATGCCGCCCCCTCCCCGCGCCCCACTCCGGCGAGCGAGTGCCCGAGGCGAGGATATCTAGTTACCTGACCACCGCCCGGGGGATCGTCGTTCGAAGATTATGACAGGCGGTGGATCTGGATATGCTCGGGGCTTTCTGGGGCCGCCGGTGGCCCAAACATCGGGGAGACGTGAGACTCGGGTTCGGGGGGAATCGGGTTGCCTTGACGGGGTCGTCATCAGAATGACGAGACCCAGCCTGAAGTTTGACGCGAGCTCCCGTTGCAGACAACCCACGAGAATTGACCCAGCAAAGTCCAGACCGCGCTCGTTAAAAAGCGTCGCCAAACCCGAATTCCGACGCACTCGAGTCTAACGTCTCCCCGAAAATATCCTTGCCTCGCAGAGGGGCCTACGGTCATGGTCCTATGTTTAGCACGCAGTTGGGAATATGCCGAGATACACGCTCAGCGCTCCTCACTTGATGTGTACCCTGCGCTGTTGGTGCTTAGCGTGTATATCGGAGGGCTGTGTTTTTCCGACCCTACTCAGCGTGTACGCCTCCGCGCTGCTTACAGTCGGCCCTGAATAGTAGACTGACCCTGCCAGCTCAAGGGCAACCTTGTGTCATGTGCCTCGCGGCGCATGCCTTCTTACATCCCTGAGGCGAGGTGGCCATCGGAAGGGTCTTGCCTCCTCTCGCGCGTGTTCTCCGATCAAGTCCGACTGCGGCGTGTCAACGGCGTCGGTGCATACATCAGGAGGGGAAGAAACACACAGACACAATTAATCGTCGATTCCCAGGAAAATATGCGAAAATATGGGAAGTGGTGGGGAAGACAAAAACCCAGAAAATATGGGAAAATATGGGGAATCGTTTTATTTGTGTGTATTTATTTGTGTGTCCTGGGGCCCCTTCATGAGAGTAGGACTGTGGCCGCAGCCCCGTCCCACCCCTGGGCCAGCCGCCAGCAGCGGAGCGGCGCGGGCTCGCCGCGGAGGCCCTGAAGGACAAGGAGGAGCCCTCGATCCTCGACCTGCAGAAGGGCGCGATAAAGGCGCCGCGTCCCGTCGTCGCCTTCCCTCCCCCCCGCCCTTCCGCCCTCCCCCTCTCCCCTCCTCCCCGCCCCTCAACGCCCCTCCTCCTCTCCCTCATTCTCCCTCCCCCTCCTCCCTTCTCCTCCCCGCTCCTCGCAAACGAGTTCGCTGGGATTGGAAAGCCCGGCTTGCGAGCTAGAGGATCTTGGATGAGAGTTGCCTTGTCTGGGCAGTGCTGTTCGCAATGGGGTTGTTTAGCACGGCACTCAGGTCCAGTCGTACGATCAGAAGTCTGAATGGTTGTCCTTTGCCGTAGTCTGCGCAGGGGGGAATAGTCATGATGTGATCCGTGATCTCTCGAATTACGGACGATGTCTGTATCGAGCCAGGGGTACCGCGCTGGACCCTCGAGGTGAGATTGACAGACCAATGGCTGAACGATTCTGGTGTTGCGCCTGGTCTGTCAGATCGTGTTGCCGAGCATGTCCCTGCTCCAAGGTTTATTGCTCTTTCTCGCCTCCCCTCGTTCTCCTCTTCTACCTGTCATATGTGCCAGTATGGCACATGTTGGAAAAAGCCTACCCGTATTTGCGCGTGGCATGGTGGTTCAGGATACCACATCAGTCGAAAATGCTGTCCGTGTGGGCGCGTGTGTTCCAGGTCGCAGCGCCTTCACCTCGTGCTTAGTAGCAGAGCCTTTGGCGGCGTTCACTACACGGCGTTGGCCGCCTCCTATCCCCCCGCTTTTGCACGTGCAGCAGCGGCGCAGATGATCGAGAGTGCCCACGCGGTCCAATCTAAACGTTTGGCGCACCTGTGGGGTGTCTGATCAGTAGTTGGCTAATCCTGTGAATTCGGTGAATGGTCAAGAGTCAAATTTAATTGCTGCCTTCGGCCAATTCCGCGATTCGGGAGCGGGTGCTTTGTCGAAGCCTCGCGTAGCCGGCGACCACGTGGTGCTGTCACGTCCGGTTTTCTCAAACATGCATCATCATCATCATCATCAGCATCATCATCATCATCATCATCATCATCATCATCATCATCATCATCATCTTGGGGAGCAGCCTAACATGCTCGGTATATTTGAGTAGTGTATCCCAGAATGGTCAGAAAACGCTGGGCGTTTGGAACACGTCCTGAGAAGGACGAGCCTTCGCGAGGTGTCAGGGAATGCGTGGAGGCAGGAGGGAGCAAGCGGAGCGAGAGGGGGGGGTGGACGAGGGAGGGGTGGAGTAGGGAGGACAATCATGTAAGATGCCTGGGAAGGTAGAGGGCTGAAGTCAGAAGGGAAGGGGGCGGGGGTAGCGTTCTGACCCTGCGCTCAGGCTGGCAATGCGGTTCGCAACAACGGAGGTGGCTTCTACAATCACAACATGTTCTGGACCGAGATGGCGCCAACGGGCACTGGAGGCAAGCCTTCTGGAGCTCTGGCTGCCGCTATCGACAAGGCCCCTCCTCGATGTTCTCTGCCCCTGTCCTGGTCTCGCCTCGTCCAGGTCCTGCGTCAGACCCTCACCAGGGTGCTTGGTGCACATTGCGTGGCCGGCCTGGGCGAGAGCTTGCGGCCGAATGTACTTCCAGCGCGTCGTGTGGACGTGTATGTTGAGCAGGGACCGACCGTCCCAGCATTCCTATAGGCATACCGCGCAATTTTCTTAGAACACAAAAATGTTCGAACAGCACAGACCAATGTTCTTAGAGCATTAACCCCAGGTGTTAAAACAAGACAGTCCCAGCCAGAAATGCTCGAAGAACATCTCGTGGAAACCACAGTCGGTTATTTGAACATTCTTTGGTAGGCCTATAGGCACGTCGTGACGCTTCGCCACTGCTACAGTATGCCGTCCGCGTCTGTACCCAGCGCGAGCGCCTTCCGCATGTCACGATGTGTATCCAACCGCGTGTCTGTAGCTCCCTGGTAATGTCTTTCTTGCTCCCGCAGTTCTGGCGTGCACGACGTCCCGTCTCACCATGCAAGAGTTAAGTCGGGCGTGTCCCCCTACAGGAAGAATATTTCATACACAGTCAAAAGATAGTATGGGGACGGTTGTTCTATTCTTGTTCGGCTAATGTCGGATGCATGTTTGATCTATTTTTGGATGTTTCGCCCAAAGCCGCCTGTAGGGGGACATGCCTGACCTAATGCAAGAGGCGACGGCTGCGGCACGCGTGGGGTCGGGGCTGCTGGGGGAGCGGTGCACGGCCCCTGGGCTTCCATATCTCTCAGACAAACGTTTGGGGCGCTGGCCCAAAGCGTCAGATCCTGGGCACAGAGGAGACAGCCACAACCGCGCGGGGCTGTGGAGCCGGCCCTTGCGGCCCCCCAAGACCGACCCCGACACCCCAGCGGTGACGACATGCGCGCGGCGCCCGATGTTGATTGCCGCGCGCAGGTCCTCACCGCTGGGGGGTCGGGGTCGACCCTGGCGGGACGCCGAGGGCGGTTCCTCGAGCGCCGCGGTTGTGGCTGTCGCACCTCCGCTCCCTGATCAGAGGCCACAGGCCGCGGGAGAAGGAGGGGGGAGGATCGAAGGAGGGCCAGGGTCGACAGCGGCGGCGCCTCCGCCTGGCCCCAAGGCCGCTCAGGATCGGCCCCGGGACCCAACCCAGGGAGCATCCTGGCTATCTTTTTGCAGCGGATCCGGCCTTGGCGACTGGTAGCCTCCAGGAGGCCCGACGAGGACAACTCGCGCCGGGGAGAGGTCCTGGTGTCTGGGCCGGCCCTGCGAGTCGGGGGTCGTTGAAGGTGCCCCTGGCCCAGGGTGCCCCCAGCTTTTCGTTAAATTTGTTGGATCCCCTGGGGCCCTCGGGGCCTCGTGAGGGGTGCTCTGGAGGCCGTGGGGCCCTCCTTGGAAGTCCTGGGGGCACCTTGGGCCAGGGGCACTTCTAGCAACACCGGAGCGAGAGGTGCGGGCGGGCCGAGACGGGGAAGGCGTGGCCAGGGGTCTTTAGGCCTCCAAGATGGGGTTCGAGCAGATGTTGTCGGAGGATCGCCCCGCATTGCTGATGCATCGCCGATGCGGCGCGATGCGTAACACCACACGTCTTGCACGACGAACGATAGTCATTCAAAGAACGTGTGATGTTCCGCGTCACATGTGTTTAGTATCGTGGCAACCAATGGTCATTGCAAAAATACATGTATTGTTCCACATCACATGTTCTGCATGACAACCATTGGTTTTTCGTGGCAACCAATGCTTGTGGCCTTGACATGCAATGCGAAAACAACAAAGGATGCTCCACATCCACGCCGACGGCGCCGAAGCGTCACCGTAGTCGGCGACGCATCGGATGCACGGCCGACAACTCATCGGTGGCGCACCAGCGAGGCGGCGCGATCCTCCGACCCCGTCCGCTCCGTCCCCATCCGGGGGGCCTCGAAAGGGGCAGCACCTTCTGGCCCAGCTCACGCCGTGGCCGCGGCAGGGGGTCCGCGCGCTACACGAGCGAGGAACCCTCGCGACCGACGTGCGAGCGCGGGGCCCTCCTCCTCCTCCCCCTCCTCCTCCTCCTCCTCCTCCTCCTCCTCCTCCTCCTCCTCCTCCTCCTCCTCCTCCCTCCTCCCTCCTCCTCCCTCCTCCTCCCTCCTCCTCCCTCCTCCCCCATCATTTAGTGTACGTGTGTGCGCGGCTCCCACCAGGATCGAAGTCCGAGTAGAGGGTTCTGCGTGTGGGGCCGTTCTGGAAGGATCTGGTGTGTTCTCGGGGGCCCAGTTCCTCCGTGCCGCGCGCGCCCGGAGTCTCGCTCACGCGGGGGAGTGCGTCGCAGGTCCGAAGTCTGCGCTCAGACGAAGCCAGGACGAGAATAAATCCGGGTGAGGACAAGCCGTGGATCTCTGAGATTTGGCGGCTCTGGAGGATGTCTCGGGTGCCGCGGCCTTCTCAGAGCGTTCCAGAACGCTTTGAGAGCGTTCCAGGACGCTCTGAAACGGATTTAGCCTCGTGCTAGACCCTTCCGATATGCCAGCATCGCTGCTTTGCCAAAAGAAGCTGCGGCAGGGTCGCGCCGCGCCGACGCGGCGGCGACGCCGGTGCTCAGCATCATGTAACAGATCCCCAACCCCACCGGGCTATGGTATCTCAGCCCCACCGTCCCACCACCCCAGTTGGGGATAGGGACCTCGAAACCCGAAGGGAAGAACCTATATTCCCATCCAGGGGGGTCAAACGACCAGTGGGGCCCAGGCCGCGCCACTGGGGGTAGGGATGGGTTGAGCGATGCTCAGGTGCTGGCATCCAAGGTTGAAGACCACGAACAGCCTGAACCAGGCCAATATTCAATAGCCAGTATTGGACACAATACTTAAGCGCCGTCAGAAACCAGCATCCACGCCAAGGGGTGACCACCCGAGGAGACCGTTGATGACATAACTCCGTGTGGCTCCGACGTTCTCCTCCGCCGCCTCTTCTCCTCCCCCTCCTCTCTGGTCCTCCCCTCCCTTCCCCACCCGATCGGTACCCCAAAGCAGTCAGGAGAACCGTGATGGTGGGCCAGGCGGCCAGAACCGGATCTTCAGCCTTCGAAGCAAGATTCGCGCAAAAATAACGTTCGGAGGTCTGCGCACATTTCTCGGATCGGCGCTCGGCCCCCATGGCGGCGCCGTTGGCGCTGCCCCTGGCGCAATCCGCGCGCCAGGGAGGGGGTCCCGGCGCAGATCCAAGAAATCCGCTCCGAAAATTCAGGTTTATGCAAAAAACCGTTCCAAAATCGGCCAGATTCCACAGCAGCAATGACAGTAACAATACACGACGCACAATGTTTGTGGTCAAGCTTGTGCAGGAGAAGGGGGCGCTGCTGACTGCAGGCTGCGCGTGTGGCTGATTTTGTGCTTGCACGTCGACTTAAAGAAAGAGTCTGTTCCAGGCTTTCGGGTCTTTCGATGACATGAAGGCGAAGTTCGAGGCAGCAG